TTGTTGTTGTTGTTGTTAGGTGCCATCAAGTCAGTTCTGACCCATAGTGACCCTGTATAGGGTTTCCTAGGAGTGACTGATGAGCTTGAACTGCTGACCTTGCAGTTCAAACGGCTTTGCAGTCTGGAGCATTACCCACAGCACTCCTACCAGAGCTCCTTTGTTGTTGTTGTTATGTGCTGTGAAGTCTGTTCCCACTCATAGCAACCCTGTACAGGGTTTCCGAGGCTGTAATAGAAAGCCTTATCTTTCTCTCACGGAACAGCTGGTAGTTTCAAACTGCCAATCTTAAGTTTCACAGCCAAATTCGTAACTACTACACTACCAGAGCTCCTTAGAGGGATGCAAATCAAAAACAACAATGAGATATCATCTCATACCAGCATTAACAGCAATGCTTAATAAAACAGAAAACAGCAAATGCTGGCAAGGGTGCGGAGAGACTGGGACCCTCCTACACTGCTGATGGAACTGTAAAATGGAGCAATTACTGTGGAAAATGGTATGGTGCTCCCTCAGAAAGTTGGAAATATAAAGACCATATGGCCCAGTAATCCCTCTACATGGTATACATCCACAAGAAATAAGAGCCAGGACATGAGTAGAAACACGCACACCCATGTTTACTTCAACTCTATTAACATTAGCAAGAAGATGGAGACAGCCTAAATGCCCATCAATGGAAGAATGGATAAACAAACATTGGCGCATACACACAATGGAAAACTATGCAACAGTGAAGAATAATGATGAATCTGTGAAACACCTCACAACATGGATCAAACGGGAGGACATTATACTAGGTGAAATTAGTCAATCACAAAAGGGCAAATATTGTTTGAGACCACTATTGTAAAAGCTCAAGAAAACGTTTTCAAACTAAAAGAAGCATTCTTTGATGGTTATGAGGGGTGGGAGGGAAGGGAGACTAATTCACTAGCTAGAAGGTAGACACATGTTAACTAGGCAAAGGGAGGGCAACATACAAGTAGGGGAGGGTAATATATATGAAAAGGGAGGTTGGCAGAAGAATGAAGAAGATAGGTGAAGACAGGGAGGTATGCAAGGATTAAAGGGTATAGATGCAAACAGTGATATATACATAACCTTGGAAAAACAGTATTTTATAGATAGATACATGGACAGAGACACAGGCTGAATGGGCATGGGAGGAAGAGTGGTGTGTGTATGTATGTATGTGTGCGTGTGTA